TGCCAGGGTCCACGTTCCAATCGCCAGCGACGACGAACGGCAGGGAGTAAAAGCTGAGGCAGGCGCCTAAGCCAGATATACGAGATGTGTTGGCACCCCCGGGCTTGAGGCCCTGCTCCAAGTAAGACGAGGCAACCACAAAGCCACCTCTCGGCCCTGCCTTCACTATCACGGCGACGCTGTAGGCAGGCACAACCACATGAGAGCTCAGGCATGCTGATAGCCTGACCACCTCTATGTTCTTGCGTACAAAAAGACCGACCCCTGCCCGTGGCTTGTCAGAATCGGATATGATGGCGTCGGAGATGAACGGCTGCCAGCCACGCTGCACACACCATTCTTCAGCCTGCTGCCTCCCGTTCGCAAACATGTGGAGTTCCTGCGCGGCAGCGATGGACAAGTGGCGCATGTTATCGAGGAAGTCGCGCGCCTGGGGCCACCCACTGCTGTTGCAACTCGCCATCATCATCGGCTCGCGCTTGCACCCCTTGAGTCCACGCCGTGGGGCCACACGACGATCCCCCCCATTAACCCTTAGGGGCCCGACTGCCGAAGGCGCCAGGCGGGGGGGGGGGTCGTGGGCACAACGGCGGCGCTGCATATCAAAATTATCTCCACGTTGCCCAGGCAATCGTCTCTCACCACTTGCCAGGTATTCCGCAGAGGGTGATACATCAGAGTCTTTACACTGCATGCTTGATAGCCTCACGCCGCTCGTGCACGCACCTGAGCCCGACGTCGAAGAGGTAGTGTTGGGGACGGTCCCCTGAATATCATTAAGCCCAGCAACGGCAAGATCTCCGCGGTCATCTCGATGAGGGTCGAAAGAGCGGATCACGCCGTCGCTGAACAACCGAGGCATATCGTGATGGATTGGGCTAACTCCCGTCCCCCGCTCCCATGGCGTCGTCCTGTTGATCAAGAAGATTTTCCCATGGAGTAGGAGTAACAGGAGCAGGTCCAGCTTGTGCATGCGCATGCCGATGCTGGGCCAGGGCGGACTGCAACTGTGCCATGTGCGTGCCCAAAGATTGACAGAAGGCCTCTGCATTGTCGGGGGTGGTGGAGGGTGCCGCCCGCACAATCTGTTCCAACCGCTCCAGCGCTCCATGCAAGTTCTGCTCTGCCTCTGGAACTGGCTGCCGTCCTTCTGACAGGACTGCTGCACGGGCTGAAGTAACCTCGGAGTGAATGATGGCCAACTCTGCCGTCGCCGTGTCCAGCTCCTGAGACTTGGATTCCAATTCTGCCTTGAGCCCGTCGACTGCCATCTGCAGGGTAGTGACCTCACGAGTTTTTGCAGCCTGACGATCCAACGCACGTCGTAGTAGATCGTCTGGTGTCCGCTTAGCTCTCTCAGCCGTCTCTGCGGTGCTGAGCTCCTGCTTTGCGGCAACCACGAGTGGGCTGCTCTCATCAAGGCCACGACGGCGCAAAGCAGCCACTGCCTTGCGTGCACGAGTGACTGCATCCGAGGCCGTGAACTCTTCAGGGATGTCCTTATCCTTGTCCTCGGCCTTGTCGGACTTGGTGCCCCTGCTAGAAGAAGGTGCACGCGAAGTTGGGCGGCGTCTGGATCTGTCAGGCGGTCCTGCAGGGTCAGGTTGTCCTGCTTTGTTCCTTCCACAGATGTAGCACCGCTCAGAATTAGCAGAATTGCGGGTATAACCACACTGCCGAGTCGCTGCGCACGACCATCGCGGTTCACGAGGGTCATCACGCTGTTGTCCACGTCCGCCTCGGCCTCCGCCCATAGGCGGCTGCGAACCGTGGTGCTCGAGTAGCAGTTGACGGGCTGACTGAAGGCGCAGTATCTGTCGTGCACGATGTCGCAGGCGTCTCTGCCTCCGATGCCACGCAGGTGATCTGCTGCTGGCTGCCGTCACTGCCGTCCGCGCTCAGTCCGCACAGGGCAGACGCGCGGGCGAAGAGTCGCTCCTGCCTATCGCCGCAGGCGGGCACGGAGCTGGGCGCGGGCACAGGTCGGGCGCGCGGCCGAACCCCCAAAAACGCACCGACGGGAAAGGCCTCCGTCGGCTCCAGCCCACGCCTAGGAGGAGGAGGAGGAGGAGGAGGAGGAGGAGGAGGAGGAGGAGGAGGAGGAGGAGGAGGAGGAGGAGAGGAGGAGGAGGAGGAGGGAGGAGGAGGAGGAGGAGGAGGAGGTGGTGGACGGCAGGCAGCGCGGTGTGCAGGGCGCTGCCTTCTGGTGCTGGTGCGTGCACGTCTACGGGGGCCTGGGGTGGGGGATGGTGAGCGCACCGGCGCACGAGCGCCTGCTGTCCCGAGCACTCGTCTCTGCGTGCCGGCCTTCGTTGTTGTCCCCTTCCTTTCTCTTCGCCTTTTCTCTCGTCCTGTCTTGCTCGCCTTCCCTCGCTCCTCTCTCCCCTGTTCCCCGCCCCTCCCCTCCCTTCGCCCTCCCTCTTCCTCCTTCGTCCATCTCATCGCCATCATCGCCCCTTCGTTCTCTCCCCTCCTCACTCCCTCTCTCTTCTCCGTTATT